CTGAACTAGTTCAACAAAATCCAATCCAAGTCAGACCTAACTTGGATCAAATTAAAGCGGGTCGGGTCAAAATACCTGACCTATAAAAACCAAGTTGGGTCGAGTCGGACAAAAACCTGACCCGACCTGACCCATGCACAGCCCTAGTTTTACGTATGCTCTTTAAAATTATGATGCGATGTGGCAGACTTATAACAATGCCTCTTGAGATGTGTCAACTTCTTGGACAAGTATGTTAAAGATGGGCCATATTTGTTGATGTAGTAGTATGGTCAGGATATGCAGCAGTACATGTAATATCCCTGCACCTTGCGGGATGAACACTTGACTCGCAGACCATTGCGCATTCAAACAAATAATACTCGACTTAGGCCCTCACTTTCAAGGCATATCCCGTTGTTTCCTTGCGGTTTTATGGTAGCTTTTGTATCATGGCATTTTTCATGATCCTTGAAGGATTGGCATTTATGTTAAGCCATGAACATGTAGCACTACTTAACACCACTGCATATTCCGTGCTTGACTGTATGTTCGGTGGCTTGGTTTGCTATTAGCTTTTATCTTAAGTGATGTTTTCATATACTTCATCAAGAAAAACATAGATCAACAGACGGTGCCAATGATCAGAACCATATTGCGCAATAGGTTATTGAACAAGCCCATCACGAACATATACATTGCACATATTGATTCAGGATCTTTCAAGCATTAAATCATTAGCCATAAAACCATAGCTATAGCCTGCTTGCTATTTGCAAAGAATGGATCTTTCAATCTTATGTCGTGAGGGATGCGACCTATGGTTATTCCAAAAGTGGTTTGCTTGTCAAGTGGTACTTGCTGCTTTAAGACCCTTTTGTTTCGAAAGCTAAACCCAGAGCAAAGAAATATGGAGGGGACACAGACAATAGTTACACAACCCTTGTGTGGTTTATTTAATCAAGTCAGGAAATGTATCAAACTGCATGGTACAATAGAATTCTAGTTTAAAATGTTGGACATGTATGCATCACGTTTCGGGAGAGGGAAATAGACAAGGCATACGTGTCATGAGCAGGGACCTTGTACTGGTATACTATGACAGGGTTTTGTTGCCATAAATGTTAGGTTCATGGGTGTTCTTCACCGTGGCAGTGATTGAAAATGTAGCAGTTGTTAGATAAAGCTAAGAACTTTGTGTCAGAGTAGATCAACGACGTCGTCAAGCCTGAGGAGAGTGCCACCGACGTTGACTTCAAATGCGTGAATGTTAACACTCCCAAATGAGAGTTAATTTGGTATTTTTATGATGAATTTGCTGCATAAATTCCATATAAGTTGTCTTGTTTGCACGATAATTAAGCTATATGTTGCATATTCATGATTAAGTACTTTGAGATGAATAAGTATGGAAAATGAGATAATATTCCTTGATTTTGTAGATGACTTGTTGAGTGTTTGTCTTTGCAGGAAAAATTGACGTTTGAATGTTCTAGTAGAAAAGCTGACAAAGTAATGATATAGCAATCGGTACAGCATGACAGCGTGGACAAGGGAACAATTGAAATTTCAAAATTCAAAAGTTAGTTATTCCCCAACAAATGGATAAAACACCAGCAAACAAGGATCAAGGACGTTTTTAAAGATTAACTCTTATCCTAAAATCGCAAGGATCAAGGACAACAAACTCGTATCTAGTCAACAACAATATTGGCACAAGAAAATCAAGAAGATCAAGATCTTATCCAATCAAATGCCAACAGCCCAAGAATTTAGGGATAAGATAAGGCTGCAGCAATACGATTCATGGAATCTCACTCCCAAACCTAAGACCTAATTATCCAACCATTTTTCCTATTTAAAGAAGAGTCCCCCACGGATTCCAGAAGGTCAGAAGGAGGTCAAGAAGTCAGAGAAACAAGTAGGGAAGCGAAGTCAAGTCAGAAGGGATGTTTTAGAGAGAGAAAGTAAGATTCTTGGAGGAGGAAGAGCTGTTGGAGCATTGTTGGAGCAAGACCGTGACAAAGTTTTACAACAGTATTCGTTTTCATCTTCTTTTCTATTTTTTAATGAGTTCTTTCTTTTCTTCTCTATTTTATTTAATTCCATTATGAGCTAAATTGCTCTATAGGTTGGGTGATAAAGTACATATGTTGTAACATTGAGATGTATGCCTAAACTTTGTTTTTATTAATGTTTAATTAGTTTTTCAACGAGTTTGCTTATTCTTATTCATGTATGCATGTCGAGAGATACATATGTGATATTGAGGAGGTTGGGGCCGAGAGGTTTCCGAATCCAGACCGTTGTTGAATTGTGTGGATTAATTAGGTTAAGAATAACTTGATTAAGTTGTGGGTAGAGAGATCATTCACACCACATAGCCTTTGAACTTGAACTTTAACAATTCAGTAATTAGTTTGGCCATAGAGATGTGGAAATTAGTTATTGGGTATATATGTTAGGTTGGCCAAAAGCCTCAGCATACCTTAGTGTTCGGTTACTAATTAAACATTGATATATCATCGTTAAAGCATTATTTAAGTATTGCTGTATCAGAGAAATTGAACCTGACCTATATCTCATCCATCACCTTAATACCTTTAATTTTAGTTTACTATTTTCTTAGATTTAATTGTCTTTTATTTTAAAATTCCAATCATCAAAAATCAATCATTTTTCCTATTTTCTTTACTTGAATAGCTCATATTTTATAACTTATCTCCGTGGGAACGATATTTGAACTCACACATCCCTTTATTAGTTGTGACACGTGCACTTGCATATTTGTGTGATTGATTTAATTGATTGTAATTTGCACAACAGTGAGCAAAGATAGCATCGAGTACTTGGCAAAGGTCTCCTTCAAAAGCGCATCCAGGGAGATAGCATCAAGGACAATATCAGACCCAGGATCCTTGGAGGCAAAGGATACGACTATGGTGCATGTGCCAGTGAAGGTGCCTTATAGCATATTGGTGAGCTTGGCAAGGGACATTGGGGCTGAATAGGACATAGACTATAAGTTACGCGCATCTACTGGATTTGGCGAATCTAGGCATGATGGTTCCTAGGATTCCCTTCTCAATCTTCATAACGTTCAGGAGGCAAGTCAAGTCCATCACTACGCAATATTGAACCCAGTTTTGCAATCTCCCCATTGCGTAATATAATGTCTTCAATTTCCATCTCTGCGCAATATAACAAAGCATGCATTTGCCACCTTAACCCTTTGCGCAATCTTTCCATTATGTTTCTTCTGATCCGACATATACATTGCGTATATACATAGCGCATATGATCTATATAGATATCATGATCTATATCCAATAACACCGTTCTTGTTTTAAAAAACTTATGTTAGTGTACGTACCTCCTTAAACTAAACTCAATACTTTTTGGGAGTTTATAGTATATCTCTTCAAAAAATTATGGGAAGCACCTCGGAAATCTTGCATATGTTGCATCTTGATGGGCTAGTCATACCAGCACTAATGCACCGGATCCCATAAGAACTCCGCAGTTAAGTGTGCTTGAGCGAGAGTAGTACTAGGATGGGTAATCTCCTGGGAAGTCCTCGTGTTGCACCTCTGCGCCAATGATCAGAACCAAAAGATCAGATTCAATTTTACAATTGGGCTGACCATGTGATCTTCCTCTACAAAATTGGCCTGGAATTGGCTTGAGTCGGAGCAGCTTTAACCATGGGTCTTCGATGGAACAAGGTAGGGGTGTACCTGCAAAACACTTCGACGCTCAAGTCAGATTTGGTTCAAACATGTTTTATCATGTAAAAGAAAATATGTACTTTGTGGTTAACACATTTATATTTATATTGAAATGATGAGTAGCTTGGGAGATGAGCATCTTTGGGAGATGAGACAGCAAGCCTTTGTCATTGGTTCTTGTGGGTAGCTGTTTGCAGTAGTGTCTTGGTGATGAAGTAATATAGCTATAATATTTAATACTAAGGAGCTTGATGATATAGGCTTGAGATAAAAAAGAGGTTGCAGCCTTTATTGACTGCAGTCTTTGCTTAAGGAAGAAAACTTTTGAGTGTGGGCTGGGCTAATGTTAATATCCAAATCAAGACTTTAGATTAATCATGAATTATAATTAAATTTTATTTCGATTATCTAATCAAGGATGTGGATATTGAATTTGGGGGTGATGCCACCCTGCACTGCGCAGCCATGTATTAAATGTTAACTAAATTATGCGAGTCTCATTAACTTCTAAAATCGAGCAAATCTCTTATCTATCCTTGCATGTCAAAAGTCAATACGTATATCATAAAATAGGGATCAAATAAGTTAGACATTGACCCTTTTCTTCACCATTCAAACATAATTGTTAGTAGAACTTTTTCATAGTGGTTTTCCATGACTAATTATTGGCAGTAATCAAGAACAATGGTTGTAAAACAAATCACTCACTTAACTAGTATTTATTTCACCCATTTTTTTTATTTTTAATGTTACTTAAGTCCGCATAAAATTGTCCAATTTTAGTTTTGGTAAAAACAAATTCGTTGTCATTAACAATTTTTCCCCCCAGATATTTGGTGTTTGTTTTGTGCAAATTGTATTACTCTAGCAGAAAATAGATACTAGTAATGATATTGCTTAAAGAAGCCATATAGCACAATCTGTACAAAAACTATCGACGCGATAGCATATACAGGTTACAACTTTTCAAGACAACCGCAGACCCAATATGAAATAATCGTATACAAGTCAATTCGTTATTCAATCTGTATCTTGACAAAAATTGACAGAAAATTCATGTTCGTCACCCCGCAAATACAAAATTAATCCGTGTTAATTTTCTTATAAATTATAAATTGGTATCATGTCAACCCTAATTATCATTCCAAATAACATATCCAAAACTCAAAGCAGTCAGCCAAATTTGCAATTTAAGCACTGGATTGGTTAGTGAATATTGGGTAAATGACATTACTCTGAAAGCCCACTCTAGAAGCTGAAGAACTTGAATAGCTTTTACCAAATCAACAGCTGATTACATATATGCTTTATGCTTGTAAGCAAACGATAGTGTACATTAAAAACACACCTTGAAGTGGTATTTGAGCAAAATTCAAAGAGGATAAATTTTTCATGGACCAGAACCAATAGGTACCCACTTAGACATAAATAATGAAATCCACAAGGAAACGAAAAAAAAAAAGGAAAGCGAGCTGTCAAGGTAAACCTCAATATTCCCTATCTCACCTACAAAGGAATTCACAATTGCAGCTATTTGGCCTTTGTGATGCAACTATCAAAATTTCACCATTGAAAATTAAGCTGTCTTTGGCTTGATTCGCTTCACCCTTGAATAGAGGAAAACACCAGCAAGAGCTATAGCAGTACCTGTGGAAAAAATAAATACCAAAAATCTCAGCAATAGGTGTGAAGGGATATGGTAGGGATTCAAAACAAAAATCTTCAAATGTTTTCCGGTTGAAACCAGAAAGAAGCAACTTTACCAAAAGCATTCACGGGAGAGACAGGTGTTTGGAAGAAGATGACAGAGCTCACAATGACCACCACCCGCTTCACACAGTTGCCCACAGAGTGGGTAACAGGTGATACCCTCTGCAATATCATATATGAAACCTGCAAGCCCATTCACAGAAAAACATTCATATCATTAAGGAATACAGCAAGGGAACCATGTCAAGAAATATAGTACGAGAAAGACCTTATATAAGGCACTAGTAAGTTAAAAGTAATGAGCAGACTCCCTAGTCATAACTTTGCTTTCTCATTCACTCATTTTCTCACTTAAATGATTGTTATATGTTAAAAGGCTTTGACTACCATTTTCCCATCAAGTCAGCATTTTTGTTCAGGCAGTCTACTAAGACTGTTTATTTCTTAATAAGCACACAATTCTAGGATAAAACAGGTCGTCCTTCTAATTCCATTAAAATGGTCAACAGCAGATTAAGATAAGGAAACACTGTTGTCATAATGCAACCAATAGTCACACTCACAAGCTTCCCCACAAAACTGACAGAACAAATGGCAAGCATAAAACCCTTCTCAATTGACATAACATAGAATACAAGCACCTAAAATATGTCACAGCATAATAGTCATACTGTCTCTCCGTTAAAATATTCTTAACCATCTCAATAGATGTTTTAGTACACCATCAGAGGATACCAAAGTTTATTATGTTAAAAAACATTTCACATATGTTTACAAAAAAAAAAAAAAAAATTTAACATGAAACAAATTTTTTTCAATAAGTAACAATCACTTATGTTTAATATAGCAGTTAAAAGACAAGAAACCAAAGAATAAGTAAAAGCACTCTTGAATAGCCAACAACCGTGAAGCTCAACTGTTACCAGCCCCAATCTCTAAAACTGGGGTGTGATGTTGATGTTGAAGGTTCATTTTACATTAGATCGCCTACTCTTCTCCCTTACCAGGTGCTTGCAACTCCAATGAATCCCCAAAAAAGTAAATAAATAAACGGGCACAATTACGCATAGAAGAGGAAAACTCACTTGCTGATATGCATGGAAAGAGAGTGCAGCAAGAAAAGATCTAATGTACACTTGTCTCACATTTAACCCCTGTCAAGAAAAATTATACAAAAACCTTTTAGCAACCTCGACACAATTATATCTTTCCGTTGTGGCTATGATAACAGCAAGTCTATCCATTTTAACCATCAAGATACTCACAGCAGATTGCAAGTAAGCAGGGCTAAATTTAACACCCTCCACGAAGACAGCCACAGGTGCTAACAAGAAGAAGGACATTATTGTTATTATAGAAAACAGGGTTATGTTGTCCATAGATTCCTGAGAAAAACAAAATGCCTGTTATTATCTGCTTTTTTAAATGTAAGATAAAAGATTCAAAAAAATACCTTCTGAAATACAAAGATTAATACCAACAATGAAATATATAAAAAACAAAGTGTTCATAGATCATGCTACCTCTTTCTTAATCATGACCTTCTTGCTAAGAACATTACGTGATTGATTTGTCACGTTCGAAGCCATTGCACTCCAAAATCCAGCCCTATTCAATATTCCACCAAAGCATATCAGAATGTGCATGACCAATTCTTTTCTGTTCAAATCTTGCTACGTTCCCTCTTCTCTTCCAATTGAAAGAAGATCAGATCTTACCAATTGAAAGAAGCCTCGGTAGCAGATGCCAGTGCAACTCCACCAACGATAGGCAGAAGGGAACCAACCACCCATGGTGTAGGAAACTATAAGAAGGTGAAACAAAGGATTACTATTGGAAAACATTAATTCCCAATAAGCTAAATGTTAATTTATTTTTTTCTTTAAAGGAAACGCTTACAATACATAAGTAATCACAGACAACTAACCCAGAAATAAACCAATATGATAAATTTACTTTAGATTAATTACAATAAGCAATGCCTGTTTGCAGTAAAAAAAAAAAAACTGTACTTTCTAACCTCTCCAAGGAACATTGCAGAAAGGATCACAGAGAAGAAAGGCTCCATGGCTTTGATCGTGTGAGTGAATGACACAGCAACCTTTCCAAGACTCATATTAGTGAAAAGGTTCCCCAAAGTATGTACCACAGCCAGTGGAACTATAGCTGCAAGCTGCCAAAGAAATCACACACACACACACACACACATAACGGTAAACAACACAGAACACGAGAATAGATAAATTCAATTCAGCACACAGACCAAAATACCTGTGCACCACTTAATTTCGGCCTCCGATGGAGATTCAAACCCCACATCAATGTCACAAGGACAGTCCCAACAGCGAATTGAACAGCAGTCACGGTTACCGGGAAATGAAACGCCTTCAATACCTGAGAAGAACGCGGGGAAGAGAAAACTGCATCAGGTTAAATCCGCATTCGAACACGTGACAGAATTCAATGATAATCGATTATAGATGATGACGATTTGGTTACCTGTTTGTTGTAGATATTGAAGTAGATGTTGAAGAGGTACCAGAGGCCAAACAAGGATCCAAGCTGGAGAGTCTTGAATAGCGTGCCGGAATCGGCGGAACCGGCGCTCTCAGGAACGGAAGTGGCTTTGGTCCGAAACGGATCGGAGGGTGAAGAGAGTGGAAGGGGCCTGAACTTGAAGGAAGAGGAAGGAGCAAGGGACCAGGATCGGCGAGTGAAGGAAGAAGAAGCGCCATTGGATGTGACGCTTTCGTTGAGTTTGGAAGAGAAATGAATGCGAGGAAGCGAAGGTCTCAAAGGCTTGTGGTTGTGTCTGTGGAGAGGGAGGGGAGAAGAGAGAGTGAAAGCCGCGCTCTGCATTTTTTCGAGATCTGAAACTGAAACCAAAAAACAGAAAATGAAACAGAAAACGCGAACACAAGAGCACGCTTCTCTCTTGTGTCTCTCTGAATCTGAATCTCACGGTGTCGTTTTTACTTTAGTATTTTTATATGGAGAGAGAGAATCCCTCGGAGGCTCCGCCAACCCCAATGTTTGGTGTGAGTGTAAGGACTCCGTTGAAAGTAGTAGGTAACGCCCCTGTGTGTGTAAGACACACTTTTTGAAACGAAAGATGCAAAACTGAAAATGAAATAATAATTTTATTTTTTTTGGAGATTGAAATAATATTGTAATAATAGACAAAATGGTAATAATGGATGACGAAAATAGAAAGAGAAAAAATAAAATATGAATCCAGATTCTAAGATGTCGGGTATTCTACTTTTCAACATTTGTTGTCCTTAATAAGTTAATTCAAACCATAAAAATTAACTGTTTGCGCTTCTTTTGATATTTTAAAATATACAAATAAGAGTAAATACCTTTTTTCGATTCTCAGCAAATTTTACGATACTTATTTTAGTCCTTAGTAAATGAAAAGGCTATTTATTAGTATATAAGAAATTCAAAGTGGACCTGTAACATCCTGTGTGCATCTAGTGTATTAACATACAATGGTAATGGCGCAGCTAAATAAATGCGGAAGCTAACTTTTTCTTTTCAATTATGACGTCATCATTATTAACCGAGTTGATTACTTAATCCATTTTCAAAATAGTGCATGTATGTAAGTTGCAATAAATAACTAACTGAATAACCTCATATATAAATGTGTATCTAATCACGGAGCTATAACACGTAGACCGGACAATAATCCTGATACATTATACAACTCCAGTCTAAATAAACGTAGTCAAAATAATGTGGCATAGACAACCCCAATGCTCACCAAATAAGGCAACAAAGCCAAACCAAGTCTCAACTCAGATAACATGATAATGAAAATAAAGCATAATCACTAATCAGGCATATCAGCAGTCAACATGCATAATCAACTCAGTTGCGGCCTCCTGCCGCCAGAGGTATCAACCCCCGAGGTACCTGTACCTGAAATGTGCCCCAACACGGGATGTGATTTCTAAAAAGAAATCTCAGTAAGACAAGGGGTCCTCAAGGATCTCTCCACCCCAAGCTCACTTACATGTGCAATATAAGTTCCAAAAGCAACATAACAGTATAAGTTCCAAATTCGTGCAATGCAGCATATAACCATGTCATGTGTGAAATAATCCTACTGGTCAGAGAATAAACATGCAGGAATTACATACGTGTACAACCTACAGTACAGGGAATCTCGCTTGTACCTCACCCACAGAACCACGATCTTGTATGTCTCCACATACTCAGGCTTACCGTCTAGGTGGAACACCACATACATGTCATAAGGCACTTGCACTTAACAACTCAATAGCATTTCAATAATCATCATTTCATGAAAACACATCATGCATATAAATCATCCCTCTATGAGGTATGGTGGAACCAATAATGGGCAACACCGATGACACGAAAGCTTACCTCGCAAGATAACAATCCAAGCCAAAGTCCACACTAGCCCAAGGTCCACAAACAACAAAATTACAATCTGTTTAGACCAGAAACATTATCCAAATCCATACTCTTAAGGTTCATTTCATTATGACAACATTTCCTTTTTCGTTTAGTACTCTTTAAGCTTCTCTCAAAGCTATGAGCCTTAATCTAAGTGGTTCTGACTTAATTAAATTATTACAGAGGTTCACATTAACCATTATGGGCCCATAAACCCAATATACCATTCTGTATGAACAGAAGTACAGAACAATACCCAACTCGAAATTCCCAGAATATCCGGATATTTGTCAGGGGCATATCCGGATATTCATATCCGGATATCCATATTCGGATATCACAAGCCCCATATCCGGATATCATATCCGAATATTTCGTGACAGAATGCAGTTTCTACATTTCGCGAAGATATTCCTTCAAGGTTCCATTTTTAACATATATACACGTTAAAGCATGCATCTTTAAGCCCATTTAGACCAGTGATCATGTTTAGCTACTTAATCCTATCATTTTTCATGCCAAGACTTGATCTTTAACAAAGAAACTCATGATCAAAGGTGAGAAACATACCCCAAAGGCTCAAAACAGAACCCAAGTGTGCTCTTGGAGCTCTCAAGTCAGCTCCAATGGTCTGCCACTTTGGAAGCACGAAAATGACAATCAAGCTAGGACCTTTCTCTCCAATGGTAGCTTCTTGGAGCAACACCAACCAAGAAAATGGCTCCCACTCTACCCAAACAATGAAGTCAGCCCAACAACCCCACAATACAGATATCATCACTCAGAAATAGAGCACCTTACACTCTCTCAAGTCTTATGCACACTCACACTAGGAGGTTTAGTAAAGGAACCAAGAGGAAATGTGGTCTCTTGGCTCTCAAGGTGAAGAGAGGATGAAGGTGGCAAGGTGGCTGCCTAAACTTCAGAAAACTCACGTAGAGAATGAAGATAACTAACCTAAAAATCTGTGCCAAAGGTATTTATAGTGCATTTAAGTTCTAATCGTCGGTATTAGCACTAATAGCTCCGCTAATCATTTTAATCCCAAAATTTAGATTCTGGACCAAGCCATTTTTCTAGGATTTTTCATATTTTTATTATAATTTTCGTAGCACTTTGCTGGTACGCGCTTTTACGTAGTCGGTATCAGTTCTGACGCCAGTTCTCATTATTTTGACTCCAGACTTGTTATACCAGTCCTATATATTATTCTAGGAATATTCACGTACTTATTAAAATTTTTGGGGTACTTCATCGGTACACTCTTATACCGAGAAGCAGAACCGGTATCAGCACCTTTCATCAGAAAAGCGACTTTCAACATTATTAAGTCCTTGTATTAATTATTTAAGCCTTCCCATATTTATTCTACGTCAATTATGGAATTTATCTTTTAACTCATAATTAAATTAATTAAATTCCTAATTTAACGGTGCAGGTTTTTACAAGACCCATTTTAGTCCTTTTGAGAGACTAATGTGGGTCTTTATTGAATTTGTGAGGGACCACGATTTCAACTAAATGGGTCCATTTTGAATTTCTTAAGGACCACGAATAGCCTTTTTATTTGCTAGGGATTAAAGCAGACATCATGAAATTTGCTGAGGACCAAAAATGATATTTACTCTACAAATTATATTTTTTGCGTTCGACTAAAATTAACAAATCTGCACAGGGTGACATATTTTAAACGAAAAATACGGTCCTTTTTGAATCCCTAGCAAAAAATATGGTCCTCACTTTCATCCCATACAAAAAAAACCCCATATTAGTCCTTTTTTATGGACTAAATTGGGTCTTCATTGAATTTCTGATTGATCACATTTTCAAAGAATTGAAATTGTAGAGGGACCAAAAGTTGACATTTTTTGTGTGGAGGGGCCAAGATTCTTTGACACTAGTATCAAAAAAAAGTTTGACACCTCATATAAGAGTCTTTAAATCAAGGCTGATCAACGATGCCACGTGCTTACAAAGATCAAAACAAGATCAACGACTCTCAGTTGAGGTTAAAATCATTGAGAGGGGATAATCTGTATTAGAGAAACCACTTTAACCATATTCACAGTTCCATACAATTCACATAATAAATTGAAACATTTGCATAACACAGTTAAAGTGTACTGCACAAAAATATATGAATGTACCAAGTGAAAATCTGAGCTCAGCGTTAGACACTGTGTCCTTAACACAATATTATCCTCTCTATGGTGCCCAGGATTCGTGGACAACTGTCTCCAAGGATAGAACGAATTATCTCTATTCTTATGGTGCATTTTCTCATTGAATAGCCTCATCGAACTCAATTTATGTCTGACCAATTGCACTAGAGTAGAAGAATGCAAATGTAAATGAAATGAAAAAAAAAATTCTTCAAAAATCCCGATTCTCCATATATTTATAGGAAACGTAAGGTTACGATTCAAAAGGCATACATTCGTTGACGAAACAACACATCTGTTTGACATGAAAAGACACATTTGTTCGACGATGAAAAGACACACTTTTTCAAATAAAATTTCTTTTTCATAAAAATAAATTCAAAAAATTAATTTCAACAGATGTCAAACTTTTTATTCGATATCGGTGTCAAATGATCATATATATATATATATATATATATATATATATATATATATATATATATAAATAGGGGAAGGACCCGTTTATAAATTTTTTTTACAAATTACACTAAGTCTGACCAGTCATACACTTTTGGTTGAAGTATGACTAGTCAAATATAGTGTAATTTGTAAAAATTTGTAAATATAACATTCCATATATATATATATGTTACGAGAAAATACTTTCTCATGTTGTTGAAGAAAGTATTTTTTCTGCCACACATACATTGACATAGGAAAATTTCCTAACGGTGAACCCACTTGAAACATAAGAAAATTTCTCCTCTCCTAAGAGAAATACAAAGCCCATATATATATATATATATATGGGACATGATATTCTTACACCGGTGTAAGAGTTAGAAGTCTTACACTCAATTGTGACCATTGATCCACTTGTATCCAATGACTCACATTACTAAAAAAATTAGAGCCCTTAGATATAAGTGGGATCAATGGACAAGATTGAGAGTGTAACTTACACTAATGTAAAATGATCATGACCCTATATATATATATATATATATATATATATATATATATATATTATATTATATTATATTATATTATATATATAGAGAGAGGTAAGACCTTTGATACCAGTGTCAAATCTGGAATTTGACACCTCATTTAAGAGTCGTTAGATAAAAAAAGATCAACGACTCTGATTTGTAAGCATGTGACACCATTGATCTTTTTTTATCTAACAGCTCTCAAATGAGGTGTCAAACTTTAAATTTGACATCAGTGTCAAATGATCCTACCTCATATATATATATATATATATATATATATATATATATATGAGGTTTACATTTCTGCAGCTGTTGTACGTGCAACAATCAAATATTTGCCATATATATACTTGAAAGCATTAAATACAGGGAATCATAATCATACAAAGGATGAAAGCATTAAATGTGGGGAATCATAACCATACACTTGTCGTTGTTGTACATAAAGCGGCTACAGAAATAATTTTACATATATATATATGGCAAAATGATTTGTAGTGTGATTGCATATAAGTATTGATGCAGCTACCTAAAGACTACGTCGTTTTGGGTGGGATAAAGAATGTTCACGTTCAAAATTAATTGTAGAAAATGAAAATATTATATTTATTTCTATCTTTTTATGATTATGATTTTCCATATTTAATGCTTTATATTTATTTTCACTTTTGTATGATTATAATTTCCCATATTTAATGCTTTTACACTATAAAACGACGTAGTTTATATGCCTGCATCAATCCGTAAGTGTAGTCACTATACTTCCACTAAACTATATATTGCAAAATGATTTGTAATGTTACTGCATATAAGCATTGATGCAGTCATCTAAAAACTACGTCGTTTTGGTTGGGATAAAGAAAGTTCGCGTTCAAAATTAATTGTAGAAAATGGAAATATTATATTTTTTTTCACCTTTGTATGGTTATGATTCCTTATATTGAATGTTTTATATTTATTTCATCTTTGTATGGTTATGATTCTTCATATTCAATGTTTTATATTTATTTCAATCGTTGTATGGTTATTATTCCCTATATTTAAATTTTTACACTATAAAACGACATAGTTTGCATTAATTTTTACGTGCAGCCATTATTCATCCACTAAATCCTATATATATATATATATATATATATATATATATATATTTGGTACACAGTAAGGCATATATTTGATTCCTACAAAATCCTACTCGGGAGCGCCACTTTAATTTATTCCTGACCCAAAAATAATTGTAAATAAAATTTGCTCACATATGACATGAATTTGTAATATTCTTAATTCTTTGTATTGTATAGTAGAATAACTGATTCTGAGCCCCGGGAGCACGAGAAGAAATGTAGTGCTCCTGGCCTATAAAATTTGAGGTACTTCTTCTCACAAAATAGGGGAGCAAAATGAGAAAAGAAAAAAATGAGAGGGATAAAAATGGAAGAAAAAATTTACTCATGTAAGAGAGACCACCAAATAATAAAATGGACCTGGATCACTTAATTATTTTTCTCGGAGCACATATAAAATATATGACATCTCCTTTTAAGTTTTTAACAAGACCATGGTTAAATAATTAGGTTTGATTCCAGGCCATCTTCATTCTTTTATTTTTCATATTTCTATTGAGATTCAATGAATTTTTTCTAAAAACTAAAAAAAAAAAGAAGTTAAAAGTGGATCCTTTCATATATTATTTCCTACAATTTTTTTTTTTGGTAAACATTGATGAACAACTTAAATCTCCCATCACGTGATCATATTAAATAATACATATGATAATTCATTAAAAAAAACTCATTTTAAGTGTTGGGACATAAATTTGCTTAAATTTTAAAAAACGTCTTCTTTTAAAAAAAACTCTAATAAAATATTGAGTATTAGTGGTTCAAATATAAAGTTAGTTAAATTTGTACCCAAAAAAAAGTTAGTTAAATAATTTAAATACACGTAACTCATGTCCTTTAGACAAATAAAATTCACAACGCAATTAAGATATTTGTTTGGAAATAGATTAATTTTAAAATAAACCTTTTTTGTTTATGAAAGCTCTCTAAAAAATAGATAAAAAAAAATTGACCATAAAATAAATTAGGGCTTTATTAATCTTATGTGACATAAGAGAAGCTCTCTTATGTCATAGAGATAATTATAAATGAGACCCACTCACTTAAAAAAAAAAAAAAACACGAAAGTCGATATATGTGAGAGAAAAATATTTTTCAGATAATATTTTCCCAATAAATTAATCACATGACGCACGCTACTAGGAAAACGTGGGAAGACAAAAGGCAACACTAAATGGTGTCAGATTTTGGCATTTTGCAAAAGAAAAGGAAGAAAAGTGTGACATGCGAAGGTGTCAATAAGAAAATAAAGTACACTGTGATCCTGTCAAATGGATCTTGGAATATTCTTTACCCGAAGCAGTATCTTCATGAGGGAATTTTTTTTAATATTATGCGAGTATCGAATTTTTTATTTTATCTTAATCCATGCTTTTCTTTATAATTCTTTCTAAATTCTAAAAATTTCCTCTTTTTAGCAATGATATACATATATTGAGATGGGCTCCCTCCTACCATTCATGTCAAAAAGTAAATACACATAAATTGAGATAATAGTTTCTTGCATTCTTTTTCTATGATTGAGATCTCTCTATACATATATGCCTAGCACTTAAATTGCTGTAAACATTTTAAATTTGTAAATATCCTAGTAACGTCTATTCTAACTTTGAATTTACAACATATAACGAAAAGATTAAATTACAACTTTATTGCAGAAACGTATAACAGAAAGATTAATTGAGAACAGATTTGAATTCAAACTTTGAATTCAAATTTCAATTCAACGCTCCCCCTCAAGTTGGTGCATGGATGTCAATTATGCCTAACTTGCTAATTGCTTCTTCAAACATTCTTCCAGAAATCGCTTTGGTCAATACATCTGCCAACTGATCTTCAGATTTCACATATGGGAATTGGATTACTTTTTGATATAGTTTTTCCCTGATAAAATGTCGATCCACCTCAACATGCTTAGTCCTATCATGTTGGACAGGGTTGTGAGCAATTTCTATGGCTGCTTTATTGTCACAATGTAGCTTCATTGGCTGCTCATAACATATTCCCAAGTCCTTTAATACACTCTTAATCCACAATAATTCACAAACACTGTGTGCCATCCCTCTAAACTCTGCTTCTGCACTAGACCTTGCAACAACCTTTTGTTTTTTGCTTTTCCAAGTTACCAAGTTTCCTTCCACAAAGGTAAAGTACCCTGAAGTGGATTGCCGGGTAGATTTATCCCCTGTCCAATCTGAATCGGTAAATCTTTCTATGTCGTGGTTCTCATTTTTTGAGAATAGTAATCCCTTCCCAGGTGAACCTTTAAGGTACCTAAGAATCTTGTATACTGCATTCATGTGGTCCACGCTAGGGGCATGCATAGACCTGCTCGCTACACTCACTGCATAGGCTATGTCTGGCCTAGTGTGAGATAGGTAGATCAATCTTCCTACCAACCTCTGATATCGGTTAATATCTGTTGCCACCTGATCCGGATGTATCCCCAGTGCATGATTCATCTCTATTGGCGTCTCCACTGGCTTGCAAGCCAGCATCCCAGTCTCGGCTAGTAGATCCAAGACATACTTTCTTTGTGATAGAAAGATTCCATGGTTTGATCTTGTTATTTCAATTCCAAGGAAATACTTTAACTCGCCTAGATCCTTCATTTCAAACTCGGTTGACAAGTGTTGCTCTAATAAGTTTGTGGTATCCATTGTTGGATTAGAAATTGTGGCATTCTTATCTAATAAGCTTAAGAGATGTTGATATTGATCACTAGAAAACAACACTCCAGAAGCATTATCGTTCTTTTCTCCTTGTTCATTTCGCGTTTCCTGCACAACATTATTCACATTATGTGATGCACTGGTTCTTCGCTTATATCCTTGCGGAAAACCATGAACATGAAAGCAAGTGTCCACTGTGTGATTCGATCTTCCACAGTGTGTGCACATTTTTCCACTCTGACCATGTCCACCATAATTATTGGATGGACTTCAACCTTTTCCTCTAAAATCTCCTCCAGCAGTGTTCATTCGAAATGAATTTTGTTCATTGACAACAACAAAGGCTTTAGCATTGGTTATATTTGTCGAGCGAACTTCTCCTTGAAACTGCTGTTCTTTTTGCACAACCATGGAGAATGTTTGAATAGTATCTGGTAGTGGATTAATCAATATAATTTGGGATCTTAGGCTTTGTTTGGGAGTTTGGAGGGGAGGGGAAGGAAAGAAATCCAACGGGAAGGGAGGGGGAAAAAGGGAAGGGAAATGAAGGGTATTCCCTTCCCTTGTTTGAGAGTTCAAAAAATGGTAAGAGAGAAAAATAGAAGGTTAGTGAGATATTTTTACCATTTTATCATTTTTTGAAAAATTAATATATTATTATATTTTACAAATAAAAGAAAATTTAATTTAAAAAAAATTATTTATATACTTTTCCCACTACTAAAAAAGATCATATTTTTGGCGAAATGTTTACGTTTCAAACGAAGAAAATATATTTTTGACGAAATTTTTTACCTATCGAAATTTTGAATGAAATAAATTTGCACAAAAATTTTAACCAGAACATAATTTCGTCGAAATTTTCAACAAAATTTAAATTCCCTCAAAGTTTTAACGAAAATGATTTCTTAAATTTTTTTGACAGAAAAAAATTCCATCGAAAGTTTGGATAAAGAAAAGAACTCCGTCGAAATTTCTGACAGAAATGCTTTCCGTTAAAATTTTTTGAAGGGAATGTGTTTCGTCGAAAATTTTGAAGGAAATTTTTTTTGTCAGAATTTTTAACGGAAATATTTTGGTCCAAACTTTGGACGGAATTTAGATTTAGTCAAGAATTTTGAAGGAATTTTTTTCGTCACAATTTTTTGTTGCAAAAGTGTTCCGTTAACAATTTCGACGAAAATATTTTTCGTCAAAATTTTTGATGAAATTTATATTTTATAAACAAATTTGACATAATGTGTTTTTGTCAAGATTTTTGACAAAAACATTTTCTGTCAAAAATATCTACGAAAATATTTTTCATTGAAAATTTTCTATAGAAATATGTTCGTCGACAGTTTTGACGGAAATATTTTCCGTTAAATTTTTTGATGAAAATATTTACGTCAACTTAGATTCCGTCAAGGATTTTGAAGGAACTTTTTTTCGTCAAGAATTGATGAAATTTTTTACGGAAATGTGTTCCATCAAAATTTTTGATGAAAATGTGTTCCGTTAAAAATTTTTAACGGAAATATGTTTTGTCAAAAATTTTGACGAATATATTTTTCGTCGAAAATTTTGACGTAAAAGTTTCAACAGAATTTGGCTTATGTCAAGAGTTATGATGAAATTTTATTTTCGTAAAAAATTACTGTAAGTGATTGTGACCAAATCTTGTTCTGTCTCTAATTTCGTCTTTAGTTTCAATGAAAAAAATTGTATTTATTTTCGACGAAATATGATTTTCGTAAAAAATTCAATCACTATTTTTGACAGAATATTCTCTGTAGATAAATTCTGTTAGTATTTGAAATTTTTTAGTAGTGTAACTTTTAAAAAATAATACACACTTATGTAGTTTTTAAAATTCTGTTAGTATTGCTAAGGATAGATAAGTAATTTCAAATATTCCCCCCCCCCCCCCCCTCAAATTCCCCAATTTGGAGAAACTTTAATTTCAAAAACTTTAAGGGTTTTGGAGGATTTTGTGAAAATTCCCAATTCCTTCCCCTCATTTTTTTTAAACTCATAAACAAAGAAAATGATTATTAAAATCCTCTCATTTCTTTCATTTCTCTCCTAAAATTAACTCCAAAACAAAGTCTCTAAGGCTTTGTTTGAGAGTTTGGAGGGGAAGGAAATGAAGGGATCCAAGGGGAAGGGAGGAGAAGGAAGGGAAGGAAATTGAAGGGTCAATGAGATATTTTTACAATTTTATAATTTTTTTTAAATTAATATAAATATTAGATTTTACAAATAAAATAAAATTTAAAATTTCTAAACAAAATTATTTATGCATTTTTCACACTACTAGAAAAGATCAAATTTTCAACGAAAATTCTACATTGTAAACGACAAAAATTCCGTCAAAAAAATAATTTTCATTGAAAGGCGTGAAATTTTTATGCGTTGAAAATTTTTACAAAAATAAATTTTCTGTCAAAATTTTTACACAATTTATTTTTCGTCAAAAGTTTTGATGAAAATGATTTGTTAAATATTTTCGACGAAAAAAATTTCGTCAAAAGTTTTGTCGGCAACAAGAAATCCTTCAAAAATTTTGACGGAATATTTTTCGTCCAAAATCTTCAATGAAAATGTGTTCAACAGAAATATTTTTTTCAAAATTTTTGAGGGAAATGTTTTTGTTAAACTTTTGACGAAATTTAGATTCCATAAAGAATTTTAACAAAATATTTTTTTATTAGAAAGTTTTTACAGAAATATTTTTCTTCCAAATTTTTTTTCGGAAATAATTTCCGTCGAAAATTTTTGATGAAAATGTGTTCAGTTTAAAATTTCGATTGAAATTTTATTTATCGAAAATTTTATCGAAATATTTTCCGTAAAAAAATTTCGATGAAAATGTGTTTCGTCAAAAATTTTGATGGAAATTTTTTACGTCAAAAATTTTTGATGGAAATTTTTTTCGTCAAAAAGTATGGCGAAAATATTTTCATCGAAAACTTTTAACGGAATTAAATTTTTTAAAGAATTTTGACGAATTTTTTTACTGAAATATTTTCCTTCAAAATTTTTTACGAAAATTTTTCATTGGAAATATGTTTCTTTAAAATTTTAGAGGGAATATTATTCGCCGAAAATTTCGACGAATATGTTTTTTTGTCAAATATTTTGACGGAATTTAGATTATGTAAAAAAAATTGAATATGTCATTTTCTATCAAAAAATTTTACAAAAATATTTTCACTAGAAATTCGTTCCGTTGAAAATTTTGATGGAAATGTTTTTCGTAAAAAAATATTACGGAAAAATTTTTGACAAAGTTTTTTACAGAACTATTTGCTTTCAAACAATTTCGACGAAAATATTTCTGTTGAAAGTTCCAACGGGATTTAGATTCTATCAAGAATTTTAACTAAATTTTTTTTTGAAAAAAATTATGTCAATGATTATGGCCAAATCTTGTTTCGTCTCTATTTTCGACGTAATCTATTTTTTGTCAAAAAATTTGTCACTATTTTCGACAAAATATTTTCATCGATAAATTGTGGTAGTATTTGAAACTTTTCTAATAATGTCACAATTAAAAATAATTCACATTTGTGTAGTTTTTATATTTTAATGCTAAGTGTAGATAAATAATTGTCAATATTTTCCCCCTCAAACCCCCTAAATTGGGGAAACTTTAATTTTATGGATGAGAAGGGTTTTGGAGGATTTTTCAAAAATCTCCAATTTCCTTCCCCCATTTTTTTAAACTCACAAACAAGGGAAGAGCTTATTAAAACCCTTCATTTCCTTTCCTTCCCCTCCTAAAACCAACTCTCAAACAAAGCTTAAGAGAATTGTTTGTTTAATCCTTTCAAGAAAGAAATAACTTGATCTCTTTCTCGATATTCTCTCATCTTGTTGTAACCTCCACACGAGCAATGTGTGTTGCAATTGCTTGTTAGAGTGGCTTGAGATTATCAAGCTCGTCCCATAAAGTCTTTAGTTCTGTGAAATACTTTGTGACTCTGATACAATCAGGCCCAAGATGTATACAAGGGACAAAGCAAGACGGGTATGGATCAAAGATAAGCAAGGCCCAAATGCTTCAGAAGAGCAGCTCTGAGGTGATAATGCCATGTCAGCAGTAGGAAGTCACAAGAATACCCCTTAACTGATTAGTGCATGCTGTGCCATGAGTTGGTTATATAGAGCGTGGGAAGGAATGGGGGAGGTAGGCTGGATATGGAAGAAGCAATTGCTTAGGAGAGTGTGGGACCTCTATAATTGTCTCACTGTTATCTTTTCATTTCCATTGTAATTTGCTGGGTTTAGTTTTGATGTAATTTTCCTTTAAGATGAATCAAACTCTGTTTATGAGCGTTATTTTGCATCTGAATAATACAAAAGAGTGGTTGTGTCTCTATTTTCTCTGCTGATTGTGATAATTCTTGGGTTGTTCTCTGTAAAACGTAACAAATTGGTATCAGAGCTCCGATCTTGGAGCTCTGTGGTATGGTAATCACGCGACAAATGGAACATCGAATGGATTTAATTGAGGAAGGATTGCGCAGAGGGTGTGCGAGGCAGGAAGAAGTTCTGTTGAGGTTAGACGCAAGTGACGCTAGACATGACGAGCTGCTGCGTAGACTGGGAGCAAACGAATTGGGCATAACCGATATACTCCGTCGGTTAGATGAGCTGGCTGCGAGAAGACACGGACAATCTCACGACGGAGAAAATGATGAGGAGGATGGTTCAGGTCATTACGAAAGAAGGAACGGGAGGAGATTTAATATGAATGGACCTCCTCACCGACGCCTAGAAGTTCCCACATTCGCAGGGGAGGATGCCTTTGGTTGGTTGAGTAAAGTGGAACGTTATTTTGTGGTTAATGGGGTCACTGAGGCTGAGAAAGTAAATTCGGTGTTGGTTGTGTTGGAAGGGGAGGCTCTTCACTGGTTCCATTGGTGGGAGGCAAGCCATCCAAACGTGACGTGGGGAGTTTTCCGGCGAGAACTACTCAGTCGGTTTCAATCGGAGGCCCTGGACAACCCATACAGGGCCTTGTACACCGTTAAACAAGACGGGAGCGTGACTGATTTTCGTGCCCAATTTGAGAAGATGGTTGGGGCTTTTGGTTTCGAAGATGAAGATCTGCTCAAAGGAGCATGGCTCAACGGAGTTCGTACCAGTATCAGGGAAGAATTGCTTATGTTGCCGGAGCTCAGTCTTACAGAGATGATGAAGCTATCTATCAAGGTGGAGAGACGTAACACGGCTTGGAAGGAAGATGGGCTAGGGCCTTTGGGGCGAAATTGGTCTACTGGACTCAACCGGTTTTCAGTGGGCCAAACAAGAAATGCTGGCCCAACTGAGAATAAGTCTTGGACAGCCCAAAACGCAACCTCAGGAGCGAGCAACAGGGTTAATTCAACCCAATCGTTTACCGGATCCAGCCAAACGAGTGTGGG